TTCACTTGTAGCTATATTTGAATATGACTCATAAGATATAGAATAGTGTTAATAAAATAGTTACAGCCGTATTTAGTTATCACACTGAACAAGGTTGCTTAATCACATAGAATTTAGTAGTTCACCAAACCACAGTTACTATTGCATTTGATTGTTACACATAACGTGTAGAGTTCAAAGTTAATAGTTCATGTTAGGGCAGTTAGAGCTGTATTTTAAATATCACACATATCATGCACAATAAACATAATACCGTTGTTACAGCTGCATTTAACTAACACGAAAAACTAGGTTGCCAAAGTCACGTAGAATAGAGTAAGACGTTAATAATTCATGATTAGACAGTTACAGCTATATTTAACTATGACACAGAATATGTATAATAGAGCTGAAGATTCACAGTGTGTGATACCACAGCTACATCTGTATTTACCTATTACATAGAATATGGAGAATACAGTACATAGTTAATAGCTGTAATTGTTGTCTTAAACGTCACTATACACATAGACATTCACTGTGATAGAACATAAATACTAGTTGTTTCAATTTAGTATTGATATTGTTTTAATATCAGTTTTATTTTGTTGTTGTTGAAGATTAGACACTGTTTTTCTGTATCATTTAAATTTAAATTGAAAACATATAACAGGAAAACTTACAATATTCATCATTTGCGCAATGTCTATACCCTACAATGAATCAGAATAATTTGAAAGTTTATACAAAAGGGAGAATGTACACTTACAAAATCACTAGCCTTCGTACATACTGATGAGGTACATTTTTCTGAAACTTTAAAGGTATACATATTTTATTACGATTTCAACAAAAATTCACTGAATTTTTAAGGCAGAACATTTGGCATTATTTATATAAAATCTTAAACGTACAGTAAGTAGTTCATTATTGAAGGTATTTTACTAATAAAAAATATACCTTTACAATTTTTAAGCCACTTTTATGTTAAGAAACAAATGACATTTTATTTGATATCTTTAGTTAACCAGTAATTTAAAAGAAATATTTTGCCATACAAAAACTTTAATTCAAACTAATTATATGAACAGGATAATCGAAAGCATACTATCTGCTGTAATATTCCAATAAAGGTATACAATAATTTAAATAACTGATTAAAAATGGCGAACCATGAAGCATGAGTATACGTGGTTGAATTTGGATTCGAATACAAAATATATTGAGCCATATTGAAAAACAATTCCCAAATCATGATTTTTGTATTACTGCTGAAACATCAGAATAGCTATTGATACGTTTAATGTGCCCCCAGCGGCACAGCGGTATGTCTGCGGATTTACAACGCTAGAAACCGGGTTTCGATACCCGTGGTGTGTAGAGCATAGATAGCCCTTGTGTAGCTTTGTGCATAATTATAAACAAACAAACAAACGTTTAACGTAAATTGACCATGCCCAGTTACTTAACTACTGGCATTTAGCTCATCTTTGGAATAACAGCAAAATTTGGGTCAAAAGTCTGTAACTGAACCAAACCTGGCAAAATGGAAAAAAGAAAGGTCTTCAGAACTAATGTACTTCAAAAAACGTTTGTTATCTACTATTCAGCCCAAATTTTACAAGAAACAAAATAAGTTTATCCTTTTATATACCCATTGAGATTTGTGGTACCTTGATCTATCATACAAAAAACAGAATCTAAAAGTTTGGAGCCAGTTTAACTGGGTAATGTAAAAAACTTTATTTTAAATGTACAACGTTTCGACAAGACAATGTCATCCTCAGGCACCCTACATAATTTTTTTTCATTACCCAGTCAAGCCGTCTCCAGACTTTAATTTTGTAAAAAGCGGCTTCCTCGTCATCAAATTTAAAGACAGAATCTGCAAACTACAGTTTGAAAGTTTGTGACTTAAAATGAGGTGCACAGATATACTTCTCTTATAGCACTGCCCCAACTAAACAAGACACATGATATGATATAGGACAGAACAGTCACATTTTAGCAAAAAATGAGATAGGATAGTCAGAGGAAATCTTTTGACTCTCCAATTAGAACTGAGTTTCTGAAGTGGTATTGGCCACAACTCCTTCATAACAGGACGTTCTTTTTTTGTCATTATCTCAACCATTGGTTGATTCTTTCGTCCACACAGTCATGAGCCAAGAAAGAAACTAATTTCTCCTTAAAGCTGTTTTGTCAGTCTTGGATGAACTATAAATCGCTCAATTTCACAGCAACGCTCTACACAGATATTTGTACATCTATGGGTCCTAATAAGTTTTTTTCAGAGATATTTATAGCTTCTGCCTTTGATGTTAGTGCAATTAGAATCCCAAAGTTGACAGATTTCGCTTTGTCAGGAAGTATTTCTTTTCATTATAACTCTATTATCTTTAGCATCTTTTGTTTCTTGGAATATGATTTATTCAAAACCATTTAGCGAAACTTATCTTTTCAGTGACAGATACCCCGATACTTTTTTTTTTATCCAGGAGCTCTGGAATGGTGGTTGGACTAATATTTAACCCAAGAGCTTTGGAATGGTGGTTAGACTAATATTTAATCCAAGAGCTTTGGAATGGTGGTTGGACTAATATTTAATCCAAGAGCTTTGGAATGGTGGTTGGACTAATATTTAATCCAAGAGCTTTGGAATGGTGGTTGGACTAATATTTAATCCAAGAGCTTTGGAATGGTGGTTGGACTAATATTTAAAGTACGGTCCTTAGAATTCCATTGAACCCTCCACCACTGAATTTCAATCATTCTTTCTCACAAATTAAAGTTTTTACTACTAGATTAACCTTTTTTTGAAGGGAAAGTTTTGAACCTGAAAAACTTTGCCCTGAAAGATAAAATAAAAGGAAATATAAAGCAGCAAATGTATCAGAAAACTGAAAAAACACAGGCTATATTGGTCTTTGATATCCATCAATCGTTTTTAAGATGGGCCCACAACTGTAGAAAATTCCTTATGTAAAAACAATGCCAAATGTTGATTTACTTGAAAATAACAAAAGATGAAATTAACATTCTAAATTCAGATCCTAAAACTACTTTTGCACCTTGAGGAACAAGAAAATGAACATTCCGTTTGAGAAAAAAAAGAGAGAAAAATAAACGAAAACAGAGATGAGGAGCTTCCACTTGAAACAAAGAAATAAATATCGAGGTTCTAGAAGGAAGAGATTTAAGACTTCATTAAGCATAAGATATGATAACACAGAACCCAATATGGCTTGAGAGAAGGCAACAACAGAAACATGTTCTTAAGAATCAAAAACTTGCTGTTCCAGCTCCAAACGGTAAATAAAAAACAAACAAAAAACATTGACTCAATATAGAAAGAAAAGTTAGTAACTGTTCCCCATTCATGAATCAAGGCAAAAAGATGTTGGTTAGGTAGACAAACACCACCAAAATCTGCAGTAAAAAGAGGATTGATGAAACAAGGAATATAAGAACTGTAAATGTCTCTGGGATCAAACGACTCAGAACATTACTGTTGTACAAAGAAAATCTGGAAAATGAGAAAAAATAACAGGGTAAACTGCAAACCATACTGAGTTACTTGTAGCTTGAATTTCTTTCTTTAGATTCTTTAAAGAACTTTGTTTATTTTATGTGTGAGTAATTGGGAAGAACTTTTCTGCGAATTTTTATCCATGCTATGAGGGTCAGAGCTGAATTACTAATATCCTCTTGTAAACTTATTCTTCAAAAACAAACTAAATACGTAACAAATACATATAACATGAGGAAGATTGCTTTGGTTTGGATTTTTCTGAATTTCACGAAAAGCTACACGAAGGCTATCTGTGCTAGCTGTCTGTAATTTATCAGTGACAGACTAGAGGGAGGGCAGTTAGTCAACGCCACGCATCGTCCACTGTTGGGCTACTCTTCTATCAACGAATATTAGGATTGATCATCACATTATAACGCCTCCACGTCTGAAAGAGCGAGCGTGTTCGGTGACGGGGATTCGAACCCGAGAACTCTCAGATTGTAAGATGAGCACCCTGACCACCAGGCCATGCCAGGCCCATAAAAAAGTGAAGTGATTTCCAAAAATATTAACATTCCATCGTAAATTCTCAAGAATCAGAAACATCACGACTATTAGTAACAGAAAATTCCAAATTTATATTCCTGAAGAATAAGGAAAGCCTAAACAAGAAAATCCTTCACATCACAATAAACGTGACAAGGACAGGTGTATGAAGTGCTTAAAGAAAATGTGGCAATATTTGGTAAAAAAAACACCAAAATAAAGGCCATGATAATGTATATAAACCTATAGTTATTTTCCATACAGGAAACTTATATAGAGGACGTAGAGTGAGTTGAAAGTGAATAAATTAGGCCTATTTTAAAATAATATATTCAAAAGAAGTCAAACATGTGTACAAAAATTACTGTATCCATAGCTTTAAATAATTGTCTCTTTTTAGACAAATTCCATTCAGACGGGTTCAATTACTTTAGAACACCCTTTGACAAGGCAAATTATTCTCCTATGTCTGTGTTATTAAAATACAAGCTGTGATGCTTTCACTTGAGAAATCGCCTCTATATACTCTTTATAGCTAAACTCACAATCACGCAGTCTAACTTTTTCACTTTTTACTTTCACTTTTATTAACTTACTTTAATGATCGCATAATATAATCTAAATAATACTCTCATATTAAAGTTAAAATGAACAGTTGTGGATATGTAACAATAAACCCCTCTTCAAAAAAAATATTTACAATATTAGTTTACATTATATACAAATACTGTTTTCTAATCATACAGTCTGCACCAACATTTGCAGTCCCCTTGATGGCTTCAATGCACTATCGATTTTGCATTTCTGGATGTATACAAGGAGCTGGTGTTCCATCTGGATGACGAAATCCTTCCTGTAGAGGTAGTTTTGGAACTTTCGGATAGCAAATTTGATGATTAGATGCTCTCTAACAATCACAGAGAAGTTTGTCTCACTACTCAGCAGTTTTTTTTTACTTTACATACATTAGAGAAAACAGTCTATCTTCATATTCTTGTAGGAATACTGCTTCAATTACAATGTCTGAAGCATTGGCCTGAATGATGAATGGTTTCTTGAAGTCTGGCATTCCTAACATATTCGTTAACTACTAGAATACAATCTGCTGTGGTTGTTCCTTGGTCAAGTCAGTCAGTGGTGCAGCAACTTCAGTGTAGTTTGGGATGAGCTTCCTGTAGTATTCTGCTGACCCCAGAAAAGATCTGACTTACTGTTTGGTCATCAGAGCTGGTGCATCTTGCAAGCAGGATAGCTTCTCTTCTTCCATGGTAATCTGTTAGTCACCCATCTAGTGTCCAACAAATTCCAGCACTTAGATGGTCTGATGATCAGACCTGCTGCCCTCACTCGCATGAACAGATCTCTAAGTTTCTTCAAGTGGTTTTCCCATCTGGCTGTGTGGGTTAAGATGTCGTCCACATAATGCTTGATGTTGGTGGTTTTGTGCAACATCTTCCTCATCATGTGGTTGAATATTGCTGCTGAGATGACTAACTGAAACAGCATCCTCTTAAACTGGTAACATATGTCTTGTGTCACGAAGGCTGTCTTCTCTTTAGATCCTGTCCCCATTGGGATCTGCTGATAACCTTTACTGAGGTTGATCTTGGAAAAGAACTTGGCCCCATCTAGTTTTGCCAAGATAGCCTCTGGGTATCTCATAGGTTTGGAGTTGAACTTCGTCACGAGGTTCAGCTTCCAGAAGTCTATGCAGAACCAGTTTAAGCTATCCTTCTTCTACACGATTATGACTGGTGAACAGTAGGAAAACCTAAAGGCTCAGTGATTCCAGCTTCTTACATTACCTAGAACATTATCTTGCTTGATCAGGTTTCTCATCACATAAAGTATCTGGTAGGACTTCATTTTGACAGGATCCTTGGACATAGTTTCGATCTTGTGTTGCACAAGAATATCTTGCCTAGCCTACCTGCATACTGGCACATTAGCTCTTGTAGGTCTGTCTTCTGCTTGCCAGTCAGTTTTTCACTTATGTTGACGTCTTTGTATGTCTCATCTTCACTCAGCAGTCTTAGATCTAGTAGGTTTTCATCTTCTATGACAAATTCACCATCTTCTGGTTCTGTGTCTATGACTGCCATATCTGTAACGTCCATCTGTGCCTCAATAGCTGCACCTGTTATATCTTCTTCCCGCTCAAGGTACCTATTCAACAGATTAGCGTGGTAGATCTTGGTTTTGCAATACACTTTCACGTTATAGTCTGTTCTGTTGACCAGTTCCTACACCTAAAAAAAGTATTTTCCACTGCAGGGTAGGTTTGTTGTTGTCTGTGGGTAGCAGAACTAAGAAATTTTATTCGACATTTAAACATCAATTCTTGGCCTTCTTGTCATAGAAATGCTTCTGACTGCCTTGAGCTGCATACAAGTTCTGTTGAGTGAGTTGATAGGTTTCCTCCAGTCGGTTTCTGAGGTCTAACACATACTGGTATGTGTTCCTTACTTCTGATTCTTCTTCTCCCAGCCGTAACTCTTTCAATATTTCCATCGAACCTCGTACTGTTCATCAGTACTGTAACTCGAAGGGTGTAAATCCTGTACTTGCTAGTGGAACTTCTCAATAAGCAAATAATACTGCTTGCAAGTACCTGTCCAAGTCACATGGTCTTCTTTAGCATGCTGTTTAAAACTCCACTGACTCTCTCACAAAGTCAATTACACCTGGGGTTGTACAGGGTGGTAAAGAGTTGTCAAGTGCTCACCTCTTGCATCAGTTCTGAGGTAAACGGAGTCCCTCTGCTACTCAATTGGAAAGCTTACTCTGCAGAACACTGCTAGGAGGGTTTCTACTGGCAGCATTAACTGGTTGCACTTGTCAGAAACAGGTGGTAGTGGTGTGATCAAGTTCACATCTACTCTATTGAATGACTCTTCTATGTGAAGCATCTAACCCAGTGGCACCATCGCTACCTTCTCTCTAGGTATTGTTATTTGGCAGATGCCACATGACCTGCATATTCTACTCACATCTCTGATGACTCCCGGCCGATGGAAATTACTGGTGATTCTGTCTGACATTTTCTTTGCTCCTAGGTGTCCACCTACAATTGATTCATGAGCCAACTTCATCACTTGAGTCTGGTATTCTGTTGGTACTATGATCTGTTTAACTTCCCAGTATAACTGCCTTGATAGATTTTCTATTCTATAAGTATCTTCCCCCTTTGTTTTGTGCTCGACTTTCTCCTGGGCATTGTTTCAAAGTTTCTGCGGTGAAAAATCTTTCTTCTGTGCTTCCTTCAGTTCCTGTAAACCTAAATTTGATATGTCACCTTTTGACACTTGCAAGGGCTTGATGTTTTGTTTGCTCTTCTTTTCTTGAGCTCCAGTGGTGAGCAGATGCTTCATCAATCTCCTTTCTGTCTAGTTCCTCAAAGTTTTTACAACTTGGTATGTTTCCTATTACCAAGTCATGTACTGGTTCCTTGATACACATGGCCTCAAGGTCTCCTACATAATATGGAGTATCCACCTTTATTTTTGCTATGGGAAAATTTCTCACTGTCCCATCAATTATCATACATAGGCATACCTTGCTTGTCATCTGATCATTTTATACTAGATTGATTATCACTAATGCACCCAGTGTCTCGTAGAACCTTCAGTTTCTTGTTCCCAACATAGCCTTCATATATTGGCATATTATGAATTGTTGGCATCTCTTGATATTTGTCACTATTGGCACTGTTGATCCTTTTGCTAACTTGAGTTGACCATTAGTCATGCACCAATCGATCATGCTTTCTTGTATTGAATTTGACAAGTAGTCTTGATTCTCTTCTTTCTGCCAGCAGCATCCATAGTACCAGTCACTCTTTTCTTGTTTCTTACCAGCACCGTCTTTGTAAATAGCTGCTTTATGTTGAGGTTTCTGCTGTTGTTTGCTGGTAATGGATTAGCACTCCTTTGCAGTGTGTCCCATTTTATAACAAATATAGCATCTCTACTCCCTTCTGTCTATTAACCTCCTATAACATTTGGTAAATTCCTGCTTCTGGTCAGCCACTAATGGTTTCAAATTTAACTGAAAATTCTTGGACTTGCTAGCTATACTATCTCCATGGGCTTCCATATACTGTTCTGTCGGCTTGATCATTACGTCTACGTCTGGTGACACCTCCAGACACCAACTCAAAGAACTGTTTCAGTTTCCTCTATTTTTCAAACTTTTAGTCAGTGAAACGTTAACATTTTCTTTACCTGAAAATGTAGTTCATATAAATATTTACGTATCTGCACGATAAAGAACTATTATCTCGCACAGAACTGCCTTGGAATTTTCTGTGAATGCTACAAGTCTTGAACAACCTTCTCTTCCTGCACATGATTGCGTGTATTGTGCAGGCTATGGCATAGTCATCATAGACCTGTAGCTGCGATAATGTTGTAGCCCTCCACAAATAGAAGGATGACACAACTTCCATGTGCAGCAATCCCCCTGAGTACCAGCACATGATCCTGGGCTTATTCTTGTTGAGGCAAACAAAATGCACCAGAAATGGGAAGGAATAGCAGAATGTTGGGCAGCAATACATTTTCATGTAATGAAAATGTTAACTTGAGAAATATTACTTATCTCTCTGCACCACTAAATACTAGAAGCTATACTGAAAATGAGTAACCAGTACAGACCAATTAAAAAGTTGATCTCCTTTCTGAAATAATGACAGAAATGGAAAAATCCATGGGATGTGACTTCCATCAGACCAGTGGTCGCCTATTGGAGCAGTAAACAGTGGGAAACAACATTTTCTCAAGCAGAGAATACTCTTCACCCAATTTGTTGTTACTGATTTATATATTCAGAGAGAGTAGAGCAAAGAAACTCAGGAAAATATAGTGCCAGCGGCAATGTGCCCCAAGATGGGCAGAACTTTAGAATTTGTAGTGTGGATAAGGTTTTAGGCCATTCTGACTTGTTGAAATACATATATAAAATACAAACTATGATGACAGGTGGAGAGAGGAGGAGCCTCGTCTTCATCTTGGAATAAATCCATATCCAATCTGGCTAGACATATCCACTGTAAGCTGCTTGGGAGATCTTGTAATGTGATGTTCTGTACTATACTTTCAGGCAACACTCCAGTCCTATATCTCAAATGATAATTGGGCCAACCAGTCTCTTATTTGGGAGAAGGCACCACTTGCAGAGTAAACTCCCCATATCGACACCTCTAGCTTGGGACTGTTGTAGTAAGGGTTCTCCAGTGAGCCACTAGAAGAACAAAGTGGGGAGGAATATGCACTGGGGAGAACACCAGAGAATGTGCATGGACCACTGTCATTAGGTACAATCATCTGCAATTGGGCCCACATTGAGAGACAGTGCAATGAGTTACTATGACCAAAGAAAGCAAGCATGGGCCAGTTGTAAAGGCAGTACTATATTTAGTATTAAGGCAGTCTTATAGAAAACTCTTTCTCAACTGTGGACACTGAACAGTAGCAGATGGATTTAATGTTTTACATTCTTCCATACTTGATGCAGGTTTTGAGTAAGTATTCCCTGTGAAACAACACTGGACACCTAGCAAGATCTGATGGCATTAAACACTAAGAAAGTAATGGTTAGTTCTTTATTCGATATTCATTTGCCGTGTAATGCCTTCTTCTTTGTTTGCTTTTGTGATAATTTTGTAATGTGTTAGAATGAGCACAAAATAATGGTACACATGCATGAATGACAAGGAGATGACTGAAAACTCATCAGGGTAAGTTCACCAAACTAGAGCCTCTGGGTAGACTAGTGAATGCTATGGAGGGAGGCAAAACCAGAGGAACATGAAATTGTGAGATGAATATTTTTGGTGTAGTCCAGATACCAGCCTCCTAGATATTCACTAAAGGCTGGCAACGTAAAGAGGCAAGAGAGGTCGTGATATGCTAAATCTAAAGATGCTAAATTGCATACACTCAGACTCACCCAAAGAGTATGTAAGATGGATGGATGGCGAATCCAACAAGAGGAAGTGGAAGGGGCAAATCCAGAGAGAAGTAGGTCTGCCAAAGTAAGTATAGGTGATGGCAGTTTCCATGAAAAGGGGCAGCACAA